GGAGTTCCAGGTCCGCTATGACATGAGTCCCCCCCTCCCCTCCCCTCTCCTCCCTCCTTCCCCCTCCTCCCTCCACAATTAAACCATATGGATACGACTCTCCCTCCTCACCTGGAATTGTCCTGAAGATCTCCCGCCCCCCTCCGCGACCCCCTCCCCCTTTCCACCTCCCCCTTCTCGCTCCCCCTCCGTTCCATCAACTAGGAAATCAGCTGAAACCCGCTCCCCCCCCTCTGGGCCCCCTCCGTTCCCCCTCCTTCCCTTCCCTCCCATTCCTTCCCTCCCCCTTCCTCCCTCCCCTCCCCCCCCTCCCCCCCCCTCCCCCTCCCACCAGCCAGAAAATCAACTGAAAACCCGCCGCCGCCCCCCCACCCCCACCTGCCGAGGAGCCCCTGGCGACCCCAAAGGGCCCCGTAGACGAGGCCCAGAAGAGGAGGCCCCCCAGAGGTGTCACGATGCCCCCGAAGGTCCCCAGAAAAGGGCCCACCCCACACCCGCCGCGGGCGGCCCGCGGGCCGGCGAGGGGCCCGCCCGAAGAACCCCAGGGAAGGAGGAGGAAGGAGGGAGTGAGGGGGGGGGGGGGGGGGGCAGAGGAGGGAGGGAGGTGAGGACCAAGGATAAGGGGTGGGGGGACACATCGACCTGGAATCGGCGATACATCGCCGATAGATCGGCGCGATAAGCCCCGATAGGGAATGCCCCCCCTATATCCATCCCCCCTATCTGCGATGAGTGGACGATTGGTGATCGATGCGTCACCCTTATGTGTATCCCCCCTATCGTTGACTCTGAGGTGAGAGGGAGGAATGAGGAGTGAGGGAGTGGAGTGAGGAGGGAGGTTGGTTGGTGCCTGGGGAGGCGAGCGCTGGTGGACCTGCGGGTGCAGTGCCTATGTTGGTCGCCCGGTCTGTGTGTGTGTGCGTGTGTGTGTGTGTGGATGTTGTGGTGTGTTTGTGTTGTGTGTTGTGTGCGTTGTTGTTTTGTGTGTGTGTGTTATGTGCGTTGTGTGTTGTGTGTAATGTGTGTTGTGCGTATGTGTTGTGTGTATGTTGTGTGTGTGTGTTGCGTGTGTGTTGTGTGTGTGTGTGTTGCGTGTGTTGTGTATGAGTGTGTGTGTGTGTTGTGTGCTGTGTGTGTGTGTTGTGTATGAGTGTGTGTGTGTGTGTGGTGGGTGGGGGGTGGGGGGGGGGGACGAGTCCCGCCCCAACAACCCTGCGCATGCCCCCCACCTGCCATAGGAGTCCGGTGACATGGACGCCAGGCGGACGAGGGGAGGAGGGCCATGGGTGGGGAGGAGGGCCATGGGTCGGCGCGTCGAGAGCCCGAGGCAAAACAGCCTGGGTGCAGCATCGCTCCCGAGAGGCCCTCTGGCCATGAGCCACCCTGACCCCCAACCCGGCATCTGAGCAGGCAGCAGCTGCACAATGCGTCGCCGGCCATGGCTGTCCCTGTCGGAGGCCTGGGCCACGGACCCACTCCAGAGGCGCTCCCATGGGGAAGTGCGGGACAAGCGCGGACCGCCCAAGGGAGGCGATTGCACGGATCCAGCCCAGCCTCGGTGCGGCCCCGTGCGAAGGATACCGCAGTTCTCCCTGCCGTGGGGGCAGGAGGTCTGGATCCGCCTGAAAGGTAAGAGGGCCCGGTCGGGAAGGGACGCGGTGGCCGGGAGAGTGAGCGTTTTGTCGCGTCACCCTGGCTGGTCCGCCTGGTCTCGCCTGTCCGTTGCGGAGGGGGGAAAGAGTGAGGGAGGGAGAAGCAGGAGAGGAAGAGGGGGAGGAGAAGCCAGAGAGAGGGGAGGCGAAGGAGGCCAGGGGGATGTGGGGAGTTGTCGCTCCGTCGCGCCCCCCCCTGCCCCACGGTCTCGTCCAAGCCTGGCCGTTCTCGACGAGCTCTGGCCCAGAAGCGCGCCGCAGAGGAGGCGTCCAGGTCCTTCGCCCACACGGCCCCCTCCTGGTACCCTGCCTCCTCTCCTCTCGGGGGCGTCCAAGAGGAGGGTATCCAAGAGGGGTCTGTGCAAATCATGGGCCGAGGCATGTGCGCGGCCCAAGGGGAAGCCAGGGACGTAATGAAATAAGAAGAGGCGCCATGAAAGCTGAGGAGATATCATGGCCCCCGCCATGATATGCACCCCCCCTAGTCATCCCCCCCCTCTTGGCCGCCCCCAATCCTCCTGTGCGCTCAGCGAGGAGTTACCACAGCAGGCTTTCTCCGCTCGCGCCTGCTCTGGCCGAGCAGGACCTCGTGCGCTCGGCCGCCCAGGCCAGACAGCGCTCCAGCGCGCGATGTGCGCCCCATCCGCGGGGGGTCCACGTCGCACCAGATACAGCTTCGCCGCTTCGCCCCTGACTCCTGGCCCTCTTTGTGCGTCAGTCGGATGAGATGCGCCCTGAGCCTTGCCAGAGATCGCTGCTCCAAGAGAGCCTTCCAGGGCAGGCTGGCCTTGAAGGCGTTCACAAGATCGATGAACGGCTCGCCCGCCAGCTGGAGGTAGGGTCCTGGCAGCACAGTGCCGCCGCTTGCGGTCTCCAGCAATCATTGCACTTTTTGCGCGCCAGTGCCTGCACATATGATCTATATTGAAGCTGGGACCCCTCCGTTCTTGCTTTCGAAAAAAAGGCCATTCTAGTATTTCCCACCGAGAGAGCATGTCTACTGATCGAGCTGCCCAGGAGGTGGTGCAGTTATGAGCCCGACGAAACACTGCCACATTGGTATGTAGTTTGCCCGTTGACCAGAGGGCGGCCCTTTTCATGGCCACATCTACGATCGCCCTGTCTGCGCCCGACAACTTCCAGCCCAGCTCTGCCCCAGCCACGGCCTCGCTCCGCCAGAGAAGCGCCCCCAAGAATGCGAGGCCTCACTCGCGGTACCGGGCGTCCAATTTGTCTTCTGCCCCCGGCGCGACTGCTAGGAGGCACCTCGCAAATCGGATGCCCCCCTCCACTCGTACCTCAAAGGCCTCCACTGCAGTGGACAGAGGGAGGGCCCCGCTTGCTACGCGCCCTGCCACACTGGCATTTTGCCCGCTGGCCGCCGCCAGCTTCGGGGAAACAGAGCGTTCGAGTGCTAGGTCGCCTCGCCAATCCAGACCTAACCGCTGGTGCGTGCGGACGTAGTGAACCTCCATCGGATCCTTCATAGACAGGTGCAAATGCAACGGTGGCCAAAGGGGAGGCGCGGCGCGGTGGCCCGGCCCTCCCGCAAGAATAAGAGCGTGTTTGTCTGGCTTGGCATGGGGGATGCTTTGTGCGTCCGTGACCAGGAAGACAGGATGTCCAGGGAGTGTTGGGCCCCTGCTCAAGAGGATGAGAATGACACAGGGTCTCTCGCATGGAGTAAGGCCGCCAGCCGCAGCAGGGCCGCAGTATCCATGGCCCGCAACACTGACGCCCCCAGGTCTGGAGAGACGCTGAGAAGTTCAGGAGCCCAGAAGGGTTCGCTTCCACTGAGCGCATGGACCAGGCGGCGCACGAGCCCCCGGCGCGGGGCGCCAGAGACCATCCAGACGTGGTTGCCCCAGATCTCTGGGATGGTGGCACCGATGTCTACACCTTGTCCTGCTGCGTGTAGCTCCCTGGTCAATGAATTCTTCCATGTGAATAAATAGGGAAGGTAAGCGGTCCGATCACACCCCCCTCAGATATGTCTTGCGTGACGACTACCATGCCTGACCCGCTTATGAAAACGTGAGCGTGGTCCTCGTCGAAGGTGCTTCCAACTAAGGAAGGGCTCCATCACGGACACGCCCCACTGTAGATAGGGAGTGCAAGAGGCTCTGTCTCCACGTCAGAGGGAACGCTTTCCGGAGGTCACCGAGGAGAAGGAGGAAGGGATAGAGGGATGAGGAGGGAGAGAGGGAGGAGGGCAGGCTAGGTGCGCAAGCGTCTTAACTGACGTCCTACCCCTCCCTCCCATCCCTTACCATGGCGTAGATATCCTCTCTGTTCGCACAGCCGGATGTCGAGCAGGGCAAAGATCCCCAGATGGTGCGAGATGCATGGTAGTGCACGGAAATGAAGCCAGCGTTGCAGCGGGGGCACGATTCCGATCGAGCGGAAGCGCGGAAATGAAGCCAGCGCTGCAGCGGGAGCACGATTTGGATCGAGCGGAAGCCGCAGAATGCCATGGCATAGCACTGGAAATGAGGCCAGCGCTGCAGCGGGAGCACGATTCGGAACGACCAGAAGCGCGGAAATGAGGCCAGCGCGGCAGCGCGAGCATGATTCGGATCGAGCAAAGCGTGGAGGGAAATGAGGCCAGCGCTGCAGCGGGAGCACGATTCGGATCGAGTGGAAGTGCGGACATGAGGCCAGCGCTGCAGCGGGAGCAGCATGTGGGAAGAACTGAAAACGCTCGGATTGGAAACAAAAACATACAAACATCCAACTCGCAGGCATCCGACATGTAAATACAAATGCGCGGAGGGGGGCGCGCTTCCTCATGGGGGTCTTCGGGGGGATAGGAGAGAAGTATTCGTATTGCGAAGTCGTAGAGAGGGAGGGAGGGAGGAAGGGAGGGAGGGAGAGAGGGAGAGGAGGAAGGAGGGATGGAAGAGCCCTGCCTGCTCAGGAGGGCTTATTGACCCAAAGCGGTTCGCTGGCCAAGAGCGGGTGGTTGGGCCTCCCGAGCCATGTGTTGTCAAGGGAGCTCGGCACCGACGAACTCTTACGTGGAGCACAATGCAATACGCGAGGAGAGAGCCCTCTGAGGTCTCGACCCGTTCCCAGCGGTCTCAACCCATTCGCCAAGACCCGTTTTGCATCCTGGGCCGTTTTTTGACAGTCCCGGGGCCGAGCGAGGGCCCCCAGAAGCAGAACATGTAAAACAAAACACGTCCGTCATGTTTTCTTCACTGCGTGAGGGGGGTCTGGGGAGGGAGGGGCCCTCCGAGGACTCGCCGGAGGACCCCCCCCGTCGCGGCGATTTTTTCCGTCGCCGGCGCGCCCAGCTCGCGGCGCCGGGGACGCCTAGCGCTTTCGGCCGGGGGGGGGGGGGCGCCC